TAACGCTTAAAATATGTAGAATAAAATAAGAACAAAATGAACTTATCAAATTCCTCACACTTAAACGTTGCTTGCCCTCAAGCAACAACTTCAGACCACCGAGAGCATGACATTCTATTATTATTGCTGAAAAGAGCTTTATTTGCATCATTATGAGGCCAATTCGACTAACATAATCATCCGACTTCGTTGAATAGCTAAGTTTTTAGAATTGTCTCTCATTTTCCCTGAAAATGTGCAAGTTTTTACCAAACATGTATTTTTACTTGATTAAATCAAATAGAAGTAGACCATTTACTGAAACGAATGCATTTCTTAAAAGGGTTATTAAGATCAAATAGATTCAACTATCTCTTGTGAAGCCCATTGTTCACGAATAATTGTCAATAATATAAAGGTCTTAAAAACTTCAATTTTTGACGAGAAAACTTCTCATTTCACAGAAACTTAATTATTTCACTAAGATTGTGGATTTATTCTATGACAAATGCGTACTTGCTCCCTCGCCTTCTGCGATTAGCGGGAGAAGCAGAGCCCCTAATGGAGATAGAATTTCCAATTCGTCACTTAAGCGCAATCTTAGCGAAAATTCATGATTAAGGATTACGAGAAGCAAATATTTAGTGCAGACCTTTACACATTGTTTAAGAATTCTAGTGAAATCAATAGTTCTTAGAGGTAATTAAAGTATCTGACTTAAAAACTTTTAAGAAAATACTAGTTAATTTCAGCAATGGTAGTAGTCTATTTGAAAAAAAATCATGTAAAAATAGGAGTTTGCCAAAGTCTTAGAAATTTTCAGTTTAAATGCTTGACACTCTATCAATTAACTATTCAATATTAGACTGATGATTATGCTAAAACCAAAGTTGCCTACAAGTATGCAAGTAAAACACATTTCATTCAATCATTTCAACCAAGTGACTGTCCTCCTCACACTTGAACACAACCGCGTCCCCGCAGTTGGGAAAAAAAAATGTTAGGAGTATAATACTGGTTGAAATGATTGATTAATAACAAAAGAACTCACACATCGATAAATCAAAAGAAGTTGATTGAAATAGAAATAGAGCAAGTGCATAAGTAAATGTTACCGGCGGAAAATAAGAAGTTCCAACAAATCCAGTTGATCATCAATTCCTGCTCATAACGAAAAGAAATAAAAGTTTTCAAAAGAAAATAATATGAAGATCACGAAGGAGGAGGAACTGAGGTGGATGGATCGTTGCCCTCAGGAGAACGAGGGGTGAGCCCGATGTGCACATCCGAGTAAAAGCTAGTAAAGGTCCTTCGAAGCTGAGCAAAGTTCTCAGCCTGGGATGCCTGCTGCTGTCCGATTTCGGACATCCTCTGCAGGATGGTATCCTGCTGCTCCAGGATCCTCCTAGCCCATTCAGGGGTCGGATCAGCCTGGGTCGTAGCTGGGGTGGCCTGAGGAGTGGGTCGGCGGCGAGTGGCCCTCCTAGACGAGACCTGCGAAGATGCTCCTGATGTCGAGGGCG